GGATACACCCGCCGAGCGGAAGAAATTTGAGAGATCACTCTATGTGGGTTCCGTATCAGCACCCCCCACCAAGCGCAACAAGATCGAGGCAATCACCTTCGGTCCCGCCGATCTGCCAATGTCACCAGCGCCGCACAGAGACGAGCTGGTGATCAGCATGGACGTGAACGATGCCATCGTCCGCCGCGTCCTTGTGGATACCGGGAGCAGTGTGAACGTCCTCTACTGGGAGGCTTTCGAGGGGATGAAGCTCAGGAAGGACATGCTGCACCCTCTGCGCACCCCGCTGTCCGGCTTCACCGGGGATTGCATTGACGCTGAGGGCACCATCAACTTGCCAGTAGAGATCGGCGACGGCCCTCACACCGCCCGGATCGGGATGACATTCGTCGTGGTCCGCCTGAAGTGCGGCCACAACGCCATTTTGGGTCGACCCGGCTTGGAAGACTTGGGGGCCATATGCTCCGTACGACACTCATGCATCAAATTCCCCACCGACACTGGAGTGGGAGTGGCACGTACGGACCCGCATATGGCCAGAGCCTGCTACACGAAGGCCATGGAGAAGCTCAACGAGCGGGAGGCTCGGGTCAACAGCATCTCCGAGAAGGCCAAGCAAGCCGACTTGGACGCTCATCTGGAACCAGCTACTCTGCTGGAAGAAATCGAGCTCGACGACCCGACGGACAGGAGGGTGTCCATCGGTGCAGGTCTGGAGCCGGAAATCAGAGCAGGGGTCATAGCCGTCCTCCGAAGGTTCAGCATCTTGTTCGCCAGAGGGCCGGAGGACATGCCGGGCATCGACCCCAACCTCATATGCCATAGACTCGCCGTGCGGTCGGACGCCAAGCCCGTACAACAAAAGAAAAGGTACATGGCGGCCGACCGACGCGATTTCATCAGGAAGGAGACGGCAACTCTCCTCAGCATTAAACACATCCGGCCGGTCATCCACGTGGAGTGGTTGGCCAACGTGGTACTAGCCCCGAAGGGCGACACTTGGCGGATGTGCGTCGATTACTCGGACCTCAACAAAGCTTGTCTGATGGATCCTTACCCTGTTCCGAGGATCGACTTGCTGGTGGATGAGACGGCAGGCTGCGAACTGCTCAGCTTCATGGACGCATTCAGGGGCTACCATCAGGTGTTCATGCACCCTGATGATGCCGAGAAAACGGCGTTCGTTACGGCGGATGGCGTGTACTGCTACATCGTCATGCCGTTCGGCCTGCGGAACGCCATGGCTACTTTTCAGAGGATGATTGGGATGTTGTTCAAAGACGTACTTGGGAAGACAATGGAAGCTTACGTGGATGACATCCTGATCAAAAGCAAGAAAAAGGAGGACCATGTCCAGGACATGGAGAGGGTCTTCAGCATCATGGAGAGGGCCAGCATGAGGCTCAACCCGAAGAAGTGTGCCTTCGCCGTCAGGGGCGGCAAGTTCCTCGGCTACATGATGAGCGAGCGGGGGATCGAGCCTAACCCGGAGAAGGTGAAGGAAATCATGGACATGGAGGCCCCAAAGAACCTAAAAGACGTGCAGCGGCTCACCGGGCGTCTGGCGGCCCTGAGCAGATTCTTATCCAAGCTGGCTGATAAGGCGATCCCCTTCTTCCAGATCATGAAGAAGGTCAATCCCTTTGAATGGACCCCGGAGTGTCAGGCTGCTTTCGAGGATTTCAAGGTATATCTCTCCTCTCCGCTCGTCCTCACGAAAGCGGATCCGGGGGAGAGATTGTACATGTATTTGGCAGTGGCCGATCTGGCCATAAGTGCCGTTCTGCTGAAGGAGTCTGAAGGCGTTCAGCGGCCAATATACTTTGTGAGTAAAGCGCTGAACGGCCCCGAGACGAGATACACACTGATGGAGAAGACGATCCTCGCCTTGATTGCATCCATCAAGCGCCTGGCGCCGTATTTCCAAGCACACCCGGTGACCGTCTACACGACACAGCCCCTCGCCACAGTCCTCAGGAATCCAATGGCAAGCGGAAGGATAACCAAGTGGTCCTTGATGATCGGCCAGTATGACGTGGACTTCAAGCCAAGGCCAACGATCAAAGGGCAGACACTGGCGGACTTCATTGCGGAATGCACCGCGCGCACCGAGGGTGAACCCCATGACAGCGACGCCTTTGACAATTGGTGGGAGATGTACACCGATGGGGCCTCAAGTGCGCGGGGCTGCGGCGGAGGCGCAGTGATCACTTCCCCCGAGGGTTTCAAAGCCTACTACTCTATGAAATTTGAGTTCAAGGTCACCAACAACGAGGCTGAGTACGAGGCGCTTATCGCGGGGCTGAAATGCGCGAAAGCCCTCGGAGCAGCTCGTCTGAAGGTGAGGATGGACAGCCAGCTGGTGGTAACCCAGATGAACGGCACTGCAGAAACCAGGGAAGAGAGAATGAAGGTCTATAAGGAGCAAGCGGAGGAGCAGACCGCGCAATTTGAACAGGTGATCCTTGAGCAGGTATCGCGGGTGGAGAATGCAGAGGCGGATATATTGTCAAAACTGAGCAACCCCCCAACCGATGATCCGGCGTCAAGCATTCCCCGCCACGTCAGAGGTTTCGTCAGGCAGGAAGTGTTTCCAGCACCGGCGACGGACGTCATCCAGGTGGAGGTTATCTCCATCGCCGAACCCAACTGGGCGAAGGAGATAGCCGATTACCTCAGAGACGGAACACTCCCGGAGCCCGACGAGGATGGCAGCACAAGAAGAGCGGCGTGGATAAAAAGGCGTGCCCCTAATTTTGAACTCATTGATGAGCAACTTTATAAGAAGACGTTCGGCGGACCTTACCTCAGGTGCCTCCCGTCGAGCCTAGCAGCAGCGATGATTGAAGAAATACATGAAGGGATCTGCTCCAGCCACCAAGGGCCACGAACCCTGGCCAGGAAAGTCATCCTGCAGGGCTACTACTGGCCGACCATACAGCAAGATTGCTTCAACCACACTCGGAAGTGCGCAGTATGCCAACAGTATGCACCTGTCCCGGGTCGTCCAGCGAGTTTCTACACCCCGATGACCATCGCACTACCCTTTGCTCGGTGGGGTGTAGATCTGCTGGGCCCTTTGCCCATGGTTGCTGGTGGGAGGAAGTTCGTCATCGTGGCGATTGATTATTTCACCAAGTGGGTAGAGGCCGAACCATTGGCTTCCATCACTGAATTCCAGTGCCAGAAGTTCGTCTGGCAGAACATCATTTGCCGCTTCGGGATCCCGGAGCAGATCATCACCGACAACGGCCGGCAGTTCGTCGGCAGAGGGTTTGAGGCATACTTGGAAAAGTGGGGCATCAGGCACTCTAAGGCCTCAGTGGCCTACCCGCAAGCCAACGGCCAAGTGGAGAACATGAACCGGACCATCATGGATGGGATCAAGAAGAAGTTGGAAGACTACGCCTCCACTTGGCCGGAGCAGCTGAATTATGTCTTGTGGACGTATAGGACAACGCCAAGAACGGCGACTGGGGAAACCCCTTTTGCCTTGGCTTATGGGTTCCAAGCTAAGGTGCCGACGGAGGTGTTGGTACCTACACATCGCACCAAGCACTTCCAGCCGGAGGACAACGAAACCAACCTACGAGCGGAGCTCCATTTCATCGAGGAACGGAGGGACCTAGCGGCTCGTCGCATGGAAGAGTATCACAGGGCTACCCAGAGATACTTCAACAAGGCCGTGAAATTCCGCGAGATAGAGGCCGGGGACCTCGTACTCAGGAAAAGAGAGAAGAGCAAGCCGCTCGAAGGTGGCAAAATGGCGAAGAATTGGGAAGGACCTTACCAGGTAATCAGAAGATACAACCGGGGGACGTTCCTCCTCCACACCCTGGAGGGAAACCATGCCGGGATGTGGAACGTAGAACACCTGAAGAAGTTCTATCAATAGTTAGAGGCTGTTGTCCTTGTTGTATTCCCACTCCCATGTAAAACGACCGGACGTCGTCAATAATAAGGTCCCCTGTGTTTCATCACTTCTGTTCTTGCCAACGACCATTAAAGAAGGGAATCTCGATGCAGATAAACCTGTTCCTCCTTGCGATGTCTACGGATACCGAACGTCTCCTCGAAGTAGGAACGCCGGTAGGACCAAGGACCAAGGACGAACGAAACACCAGGGAATCTCGATGCAGATAAACCTGTTCCTCCTTGCGATGTCTACGGATACCGAACGTCTCCTCGAAGTAGGAACGCCGGTAGGACCAAGGACCAAGGACGAAGGAAGCACCAGGGAATCTCGATGCAGATAAACCTGTTCCTCCTTGCGATGTCGGCGGACACCGAACGTCTCCTCGAAGTAGGGACGCCGGTAGGACCAGGGACCAAGGACGAACAAAGCACCAGGGAATCTCGATGCAGATAAACCTGTTCCCCATTGAGATGTCTGCGGATACCGAACGTCACCTCGAAGTAGGAACGCCGGTAGGACCAAGGACCAATGGCGAACGAAGAATATAGATTGCCTCCCTAAAAAAAAAAATGGGGAGAAGAGGAGAGTAGCTCCTATGCGGAAGGGAATCTTGCCCGGGCGTGCCAGATCTTCTCCCACCGCCGAAGGCGAACGCCTCTCGATGTAGAGGTTAGTAGAGACGCGGAGGGGGCTAGACGAACCAAGGGAGCCTGCCAAGATAAACCTGTTTATCCCACAAATGACCATGGATCGATGGACGTGGGATAACAAAGTCGGGAACCCGTGAGGGTAAACCTGTTCGTCCCTGCGAGTTCCTTGGGTACCGAACGTCCTCTTCGAAGCAAGAGACGCCGGTAAGACTAAAAGGACCACGGACAAACGAAAAAAGGGGGAATCTCGATGTAGATAAACCTGTTCCTCCTTGCGATGTCGGCGGACACCGAACGTCTCCTCGAAGTAGGGACGCCGGTAGAACCAGGGACCAAGGACGAACAAAGACTAAAAGACTCCAAAAAAAAAAAAAAAAAAAAATGCCAGAAGAGCATGGAGCAAAGAATGATTTTTATTCTTCGGCACTATTGGCCGGGGAACTACAAGGTGCGAAGAAACAATGCAAAGAATGGAAAAAATTGTACAAGTACAAGGTAATGAACGGAGAATCACTGCCGATCGACGTCCGGAGCTGGAGCTTTGGAAAGAGTCTGCTTGGATTTTTCACTAGCTTCGGCTTCCTCCTGCTCCTTCAGCAGCTCAAGGGCCCCCGCATGGGCATCTGCCATCAGGACGTCAAAACCAGCCGCCTCCGGGTCGAAGGGAGCCCCGAAGTGACGCTCGAACGTCGGAAGATTCTCCGCTACCAAACCAACCATACCCTTACGGTAGGTATCATCGGCGAGGTCATCGAGAAAACGCCGCCCGGTGGGGGTGGCCTGAAGTAACTTGACCCCATCCAGATAAGCATCCGGGCAGGTGGCCAAGAACTCACCAACAAGCCTCGGGAGGAACTTCATGGCCATGGTGTGAATGGCGCCAGTATAAGCCTTGGATTTTTGGAACGCTATGGATCCGGATTCTTTGATCTTGGCGACATCGGCCTCGTATATAGGGACATGATTGTCCACGCCCGTACTGCGGAGCTCCACCTTGGCCTGCTCTACGGCCCACATCCGGCTGCGGAGATCCACAAGCTCGGCCTCCTGCTTCTTGAGGAGCTCCTTCTGAGAGGCATTCACCTGGACGAGCTTGTCGTATGCATCGGCCTTCTCTTGAAGAGTTCCGGCCCTGCCTTTTGCATTCTTCAGGAGGGCGTCACATTCAGCCCGGACTCTGGCCATCTCCCTGCCCTGATGCTCAAAAGCCATCCGAGCCCTGTGAAAGTAGAGTCCGGCCTTGTCCAGAGTGCTCTGACCACACTCCAGGAGGTCTTCGGGTGCCCCCTGAGCAGCAAAATCTTGGGGGACCTTGAGATTCAGGCCGCACCAGATGGAGGACGCTGTCTGGCCGAAGAGCATCATAGACTCCTTGCGGGGGCCAACCCCAGAAAACTCGATCAGGCCAAGAGAAGACTCACTGGCTCCTGGGGGAGAGTTTGGACGGGCGTCGTCAGAACCTTTGGCGGTTGGGGTATCATCATCCCGGAGACGGCGGACGTCGGAATTCCTCGGAGGAGAGGCACGGAGATTGGTCCGCGAAGTGCGCTTCCGCTTGAGGGGACTTCCGGGCTCCCCATCGGAGTCATCGGCCACGATGATGGCCTTGGAGGAGGTGCCCTCAACACCTGGCCTCTTGGAGGCGCCGGCCCCCGAAGCGTCATCAGCTCGCGCCCTGGTCACCCGATGTTCGACCTTGGGGACGAGCGGCTTCCCGGGCTTGTCATGCCCCTTGTGCTCACGGCCGGCGGCAGTCGAAGCAGCGTTGACTCGGCTCATCGTAGACGTGGATGGAAAAATGCCTGCACAAATGGAACCAAGACGTTCAGAGCCATAACAGCGAAGAGAGGTTAAAACAAGACAAGTACAAACGGACGCACCTAATCCAGCCTGAGCTTTAAAGGGCTCTGTCACGCCCCAGACCGCAATCCAAGCGCGTGTACAACCGCCGTATAATTAAGTGACGTCACCCGCGAGTCAACCCCACTTAATTACACAAGGCGTTCGAGAAAACAATCCATCCATACTCAGTAGTAAACATACATAACAACATCACATTTAAACCAATGAATAACGGAAATATTCAACGGTAAGTCATAAGCCACAACCGGCCAACAACATGGGCATGCAAGCCCCAAAAATAGTTTATAGTAGAACAAATATCCATGAGCAAGTGTTTGGTAGTTTGAAAGAAAATAAGGAAGCACGAACCACGTCTTCCCGATATGATATCACCCGTGAGAAGGTGCAAGTAGCAAGCCCTAGCTTCAACCTGAAAATGGTGGGGCCCCCCGAAGGGGTCAGTACAAGTACCGAGCGAGTAGCAGGCTAAATATAGAATAACTAGCGTTTCAAGTATAAGACCCAAACATAGGGTGATACATATACGTATAGTCCTTCCCCCCAAGTTTGAAATACATATTAGTATACATACACTTGGAAATACTCGACCCGTAGGTCATTGTTTATTTGGGAAAATAATAGTAGCCAATATCCTTGACTTAAATCCCAACCCACCCATGTACCTATGAGTGTATAGAACTCCTCCTTGTTCAAATAAATTATCATAAGGACACCGCCCGGTCCTAGATCATTAAATGTAATCTATGAGTTTTGAGGATACACGCCCGATCCTTGGGTACTCCACCCTATAATTGAGTTTTGAGGATAACCGCCCGATCCTTGGGTACTCCACCCTATATAACCGAGTTTTGAGGATAACCGCCCGATCCTTGGGTACTCCACCCTATATAATCGAGTTTTGAGGATAATCGCCCGATCCTTGGGTACTCCACCCTATATAACTGAGTTTTGAGGATAACCGCCCGATCCTTGGGTACTCCACCCTATATAACCGAGTTTTGAGGATAACCGCCCGATCCTTGGGTACTCCACCCTATATAACCGAGTTTTGAGGATAACCGCCCGATCCTTGGGTACTCCACCCTATATAACCGAGTTTTGAGGATAACCGCCCGATCCTTGGGTGCTCCACCCGACCTATGACTTACCACATATCACACTAGATAGGGTCTATATCATATTTAGTCATCCATAACTAATTCAATACATAAAACTTATGTATCACATTCCATGCAAAGCCATGCAATTATATAAACGTATAATTAATTAATACCAATCGATATTAATTAATCCGTTATCCATCGATCAACGTTGTTGTTGACCGCCATCTCAAGTCTTACACTTATTAACTAAATCATCACATAATTAAGTTAATAAAATCCATTTGTGCTTCTTTTACACTTAAAGCAAATATGCATTATATAATTTCTCATATCATATTTCATGCATAAACAATTACTCCTTTTCATATGCACTTAACTATGTTGACTAATCACATGTTTAAAATATCTTTTAAACATCATTATGAACACATATTACATTTATTTAGGTAATCTCATAATTAACCCAAAAGTTATAAGATATTAAGCCGTCCACTCACCTTGAACTAGCGTTATGAGGTTCTACCCTTCTTGGTTGAACTCCGGTGAAACTCCGGCGACTTGGTCAACTCCGGCGACAACTCCGGCGACTTTTTCCAACTTTGTGAAATCACTTGAAATACCCTTTACAAGTTCCTAACAAGGTTTTATAATCATAAAACCCATATTAATACAAATAACCTCAAAAAGGTTATTTTCCGGTGAACCGGTCGTTTTGGCTTCTAAGTCCGTTCTTGGACTTAGAACCATCTTCCACCCCATAAATCCATACTTATAACATATTGAACCATACTAAAGGTTCTTCATATGATATATACTTCATATGGTGGAAGAAAAATAAAGGAAAAGTTAATATAAGGTCATTACCTTAATTGTTCACACTTTTCCCAACTTTTTCCCTCTTTAATCTTCTTCCTTTGAGCACTAAAGCTTGAGCTCAAATTTGCAGCAATGGAGGTGATTTTGAAGCTCCTTCTCTCTCCCTTGGATGGTTTGGTCGAGCTCAATGGTTGGAGGGAGAGGGGATGTCTCACTTTTGTCTTAATTGACAAATGAGTGAGGGAGGGGGGTCCTCCATGTACCTTAGATGCCAAAAGCACCTCCTCCACTCCTTCCTTTGTCAACTCAGCCACCTCCTTGTTTATTTTGAGCACACAAAAACGTGGGGTGGCCCCCACCCTTGTGGGAGGTCATCCCATTAAGTCCCGATGTGTACAATCGGCCCCGAAAGTTGTATTTTTCGGACTGTTTTAAATATATTTTATTTTATCGGGTCAAATAAAATATATTATGTGCTCTTACTTTCTATGACATGTATAATGAATTTACATTCCCCAACTTTAATTTATAAGCCTCCGAAATTCATTTTCGGGCTGTTATCTGTTAAATTGTCAGTACCGGTAATTGGGCCTCTTTTTCCCAATCGGTCAACCCTGCGCCTTTCCACGACCCAAATACGATATCCACCACTATATAAATATTATCTTGACCAAGATGAATAAAATATGTGGTCTCGGGAGTGTTGGGCGGCCCCCGCTCCCGGTGTGGGTCCCACGTGCAATTTACTATTCACGCGAAAAAAAATAATAAAAAATTTACAACTTCGTAAATTCATTAATCCTTTAATAAGGTTCAATACATTATTTACACAAAAGTAAATATATTTGGGGACGGTGTTACAGGCTCGGCCACCAGCAACCGGAGGTTCTGGATGCCAAGTCCGGCTATGCGCTTGGCATATCCGAGTTCCTCGTCCGTCATGGGTGGTGGAATCGTCTTCACCGGGTAAGCATTCCACCGGTCAGAGAACGGCATCGGTGAGCCTACCCCGGCCAGGAAGAAGCGCTCTTCCCAACCGTCCGGATTCCCAGCATTATTCGAAAACAGGACCATGGACGGACGGGCGATCAGGGTCAGATACCCTGTGCGCCCAAAGGGGGACAGCCGAAAGAAATGGTGCAGCAGGTCCACGGTGGGGGTCACACCGACGCTGTGGCATCTAATGATGAAGCCAGCGATTATCCGATAGGCGGCAGGGACGAACTGCGCAGGCACTACCTCAAGGGCCCTGAAGAGCTCCAAGTGGAAGCTATGTAAGGGAAAGTTCAGCCCGGCTATCACCGAATCCAAGTGGACCACCACATAGCCAGGCAGATGGCGCATGGGGTTGCGCAGACGACGATCGTCGTAGGTCCTTGGAGGATAGAACCATTGGCTGATCAGACGCTTGTCAGCATTCGTCAGGCGTTGAACTTGACGCCGAACGTACGAAAAGCTGAGGCTATAACGGGGAGGCCAGGGCGGCATTCCCCGCTCATAATATTCCAAGTCATCACCAGAAGAACAACCATCGTCGAAGCGATTTTCGGAAGACATGGCAACGAACGGTACCTTTGGAGTTCGAGGTTCCGATACGGTTTGAGAGAAATCTAGAGAGAGAAGACAATTGTGCAGCGTAAGGAGAAGTATGAATGAACTACATGGGTTCAGAGTACTTATAGGCAGCACCGCGGGAACACACCAACCGAAGTGGGACACGTGGCGCCTGGGTACCGGTACCTACCACGGTATTTAAGGTGCCTCGATTCCGTCGCCGCATAATCTTGGCAAAGGCGACTGGATCGAAGCCACGAACGTCCAGAGGGGAACTCGGGACGCCCGAAGATCACGACCATCGGCTGTCCCTAATATAGGCGGCTCGTGGGGGACATATGCATCAACGGGCTATGTTCGTCTTTCCATACTTCATGCCATTTGAACATGTAGAACAGACGAACGTCCCCATACGTAACTGGAGTATTCATGTCACACAACGACAGACGAACGTCGTTACCGAACGCTGATTCTGGGAAGTACGTTCATACGTCCACACTTTGAGTATACATCATAAGCCACCAACGAACGTCGTTTCATGAATTAGAGTACCTTGAGGACGGTGAGCCGGCATCAGAGCCCAGCATCAACGCCCGAAGACAGGCCTGGGCGGTACTTCCGCACACTTGAGCACGTACGGAGGTTTGGCAAGGGAATGCCGTTGCCTTAAGCAAGTAAGGAACGGATACGAACGTCCTCGCGACAGGTGTATCGAAGCTCCGAAGGAGTTTCCATATAAACAAACGATGGAGGAAAGAAAGATAAAGGAATGAGAAATCACGAACATGGAGTCAACTATGGACAAAAAGCATGTATATTCTTCAGCTCTAACGGCTGGACATTACATGGTCAAATAAGGAAATTACAGTGCGTATTATACAAGAAAAGGGGACCCTGGTCGACTGCCGCCTCGGTTCGGATCTTCCTCCTCGACTTCAGGCTCAGGGGTTGGCGGCTCCGGAATCTCTCCCCTGGCCTTGGCCTCCTCCCGACGCCGGTCCCTCCTTAGCTTCCCCAAAGCTTGAATTAGCAGATCGTCATCGGTATTGGCGGCCAAATCAAAGTCAGCCCCCTGCAGCTTGGCAAATATCGGGAGAGTGGCCTTAACCCCCTCGTTATAGCCGGCGGCGAAGGTGCTGTCGCCGACCTCATAGAGGAACTTGTGGGACAGAGGAGAGCTCTCGAGGATCCGGACGCCGCAGGCCAGACGCTGGCGAGGCGGTATCTTTTCCAAAGCCGCAGAAAACACGTCGCCGAAGGCCCCGGCGCAGTAGTCTCTGGCAGAGTCCATGAACTCCCCGGTGTTCTTGAAGCCGGAGGTGTCAACCAGCCACTCTGGGTCGGCGCCCTTCTCAACGGGGAGCACCGGAACAAGCTTGAAGCCGGCTCTCTCCAGGCCGACCAGCTGGCTGCGGGATTCAGCCCGCAGAGCTGCGAGCTCTCTCTCCTTGGCCGCAGCCTCCGCCTCAGCACGACGGACGGCTTCCCGGGCTTGAGACAAGGCGGCATCAGCTTTCGCCTTGGCCTCCTTCAGATCGGCCTCCCTGGCAGCTTCAGCCTGAAGGACTAGAAGCCCAGACTGGATGACAGAAGGGAAATTAAAGGCAATGGTCAGGAGATGAACGTCAAGGAAAAAATATACTCGGATCTAGTAATGAGGAATTACCTGAAGAGCGGCTGCCAGGGCAGCGCTAGTCGCTTCAGAGGACGAGCGGCGGGGCAGCTCGAGGCCAGCTTTGAGGGCCATTTCCCTCCAGAGTTCCTCCGCCGGGCGGCTCAAGGGCAGGGCGCCGGCGTCTTCGAGCAGAAGGCCAGTGGAGCTTGCCTCACGGCCCCTTTTCTGTTTCTTCTCGGGGACCTTCTCTGTCCCCTTCTGAGGAGCCGCCTTCGTGGGGACGACCGGCGGTGGAAGGGCAGCTTCGAGAGCAGGGGCCCCAGAACCCTGGGCCAGCATGGTGGCGATCAAGTGCTGCTCACCCTCAGCAGTTCGTCGGGCAGCGTCAGATGCTGAGGAGTTGGAATCCGAGGCGGGGGCATTCTTGGCCTTCGCCAGTGCAGCTTTTGCAGCGGCCGCCTTGGCCTTCCTTGTCTTCAGACATTCAGCGTGATTCATTTGGGCTCTGTCTGGCGGAGAACCTGCAGGAAAACCACAAGGGGTTAAAAGACGAACAGAGAATGCAGAAGGACACTCACCTCGAAGGACAGGACCGCCCGGTGCCCCGAGACGAGCGTCGAAGGGTGGAAAGAGTCCAAGGACACGGGCGGTACCTATGCCTGCCCCCGAGAGTGCCTCGAAGGTCAGATAGCCAGCTATGGGGCGAATGCCGCCCTGCAGGATGCCTTCCACAGCCTCGCTCAGATCGTCGGTCAGCTCCGGCGACTCTATCTTCGGGGGGTAACCATTCCAACGAACTGGGAGGGGAGGACCATCATAGCGAAGGAAGAAGAACCGGTTTTTCCAATCATGGATGGAGGAGGGGTAGCTCTTAAACAGCCTCCTCCCCGGACGAGCGGCCACGCTCAGATACCCGTCGGAGTTCTGGGGGGTGATCCGGAAGAAGTAGTGGAACAGTTCCAGGGTGGCATCGACTCCCGCAAGTTTGCAGCGCACCAAGAAGGCCGATATGAACCTATAAGAATTTGGCATGAATTGCGCCGGGGCCACTTGGAAGCAGTGGAAGAACTCCACATAAAAGGCGTGAAGTGGAAACCGCAGCCCGGCTTCAACGGAGTCCAAATGAAGCATGACCATCCCCGGACGTCTCCTCATCACGTGCTCGGCGCCTCTCACGCTCCAGACGAACGGCGGGGGGGAAGAAGGTGCGAATTTTGTTAAGGGCCACGCGGGAGAGAACTTGGTCATGGTCGAGGGCGCTCCTGATCGGACAGATGTGGCACTCCATGTCCGTAGGGATGCCCAGATCATGCACCTCCATGTCGGAGCCTGATTCAGCCTCCTCCCCAGAATCATAATCGGCGGGGCGCTCATTCAAGGGGACTGCATCGATAATATCTACTGCCCCGTCAGCATTTCCACCCCCGGCATCGCTCCCACTGCCTTGGGAAGCGTCATCCGGCTCATCATCAGCCCGGATGGTCCCTACCGTCGTTGCCGAACCAGAAGTCCCAGAAATGCTGGCCTTTCCCGGGGAACGTGCATTCACATCGGCAGAAGAGGAGCCCGAAGAGGAACCCGACGAACCGGAATCGGAACTCGATGAGATCTCCATCGAAGTCATTTCGGCTAAGAAACAGAACAAAGGAAAGAAGTAGAGGGGGGAAATTACCTTACAAGGGGTTTAGCCGAACTCGGAAACCACGCAGAGAACTTGAAGAACAGCAGAAATTCTAAAGCGAGGGAGCAGAAATTGGGAACCCTAACTCAGGGGAAAAACCCGGCATTTATAGGGGGAGCACCGGTTAAGGGGCCAACGAGGGGTTGACACGTAGCAAGGAGCGTGGTCCGGCTCACGCGCCGTGCGTGGGATGGAAGCGTAATGATGACACTTCCTCGGGAAAATGCACCGCCGCAACATCAGCCGTCACCTCGTTTCCTGAACCGTCGACAGCTGTCAAGCACCATGACCACGAGCGTACGCCTCCAATGGGTGCAGAAAACACAAGTATCAAGACACGAACGTCT